GCCACTTTTTTACCTGTTAATGTCTTTGCAACTCAAAATGTATGACAGATATTATGACAAAAAATGTACTAGACTGCCAAGTTTCATTTACATATTAAATTCCAAGAAATAGGCGAGCTGTGACAAATATTGTCTCAAAACGCACCGAAAACGGCCACATTTTTACCTTTAAACGTCTTCATAACTAAAAAAATAGGATAGCTATGAAAAATCTGAAAGCAGGACTAGATTCTGCACTACAAAATGTACTGGGTTGCCAAGTTTCTTTTAAATACTCCGAGAAATGAACGAGTTATGACGAATATTGTCTCAAAACTCACCAAAGAACGTCCCATATTTGGGGGTTTTTTCATTATATAAAAGTGTACCAGAAATTAATTGATTAAAAAATCCGTAACTTTTTTGTTTATTGATGGATTTCAAAAATTCAAAAAGTTCCATGCTCTGTGAAGATGAAGCTACAAAATGCACCTATTTGCAAACACTTTCTGGCAAAAAAAAAGGATTTTCGTGGTCATTGCCCCACACACACACATATAGGCCTACACATACAGCCTCAGACAGACACATGAGCACACAAAATAAATGAGAGATTGTAAATGAAAATACAAAATAAAATTTCACCACAACAATATCCTGTGTCTACATCCTGTTGGAAAATAAAACATTCACAAAATTCACAGACTCAAAACTGCAAAAATAATTACACTCCAAAGATCTTTCTATAGCAAAGAACATACCTAAGACCATCTGTTCTGCAGTTGATTCTGTACTGTTGCTTGTAATGCTCTTCAGGGATGCTGTGGAGTTTGTCCTGGGGGTGCTGCAGAGACGAAAAGGAAGACATGAGGTCAATTTTTTGTCAATTGCTATAGTACGGATTTAGCACCCCAAAAAATACTTGTGCAATTAATGGAATTTAACCGCCCTGATGAAGAGTAAAGAAATTTAAGAGATGAGAATTCCTTTGAAATTAAGAAATATTTCGTCAAAATTCAGATTATAGATGTTGAAAAATTCAAGAAAAGATACATAACATAGGTACAATTGTTTCACAAAATGAAAGTTTTTTGCTCCCCTGAAAAATAATGAGAGCCCAAATCATGGTTCTGATTTGGGTGCTATTTTTCTCTAAATTATTTTAAAATTTCAAAAACTAATTTTGACAATATGACCACTGTGTGTGTGATCTACAGGTATAGGACAGTTTCCTGTGTACCGGCCAGTGAGAGACCAGCATATCAGCGTCCTGTACCCACCTCTCGTGCTGCACCTCCTCATTAGCACTGTGCCTCTTGGTGTGCAGAATTCCCTTCTCAAGCTGGTAGTCCGGCACGGGACTGACCGTCTTCTCATCGTCTGCTGCACTAGGCGCCGATGTCGGCTTCTTGATGCTGCACAGTCTGTAAAACGGCGGTGTCTGGGTGCGCTCAATGTTCACGTTCAGAGTCTCCACCGTCTGTGGGAACCAGTTTGAGTTTGAGAAAAGATAAGCTCATAGACACACCAAAACCCTCGCTAACCACGGGGGAAAAACAAGGCAGAGAGATTAAACAGGAATAGTACCAGAAACTGAACTTACGCGTATCCCCCTCCTACCACCCCTAAAATCAGTGCTCAGACTTGACAGTCTCAGGTAGGCTCACCACAACATCACCATCATCAGCCTTTCTCACCCTGTTCCAGAATATGGGCCACCAACAAGAGCTCTCCATCCACTTTTGTCAAGAGCAATAATCCCTACTTCTGTCCAGCTGTATACCATCTTACCTTGTATAATATAAGTCCCTCTCCCAAGTACTTTTTGCCCTTCCTTTCTTTCTCTGTCCTAGTGGATTTCTTCCCGACATATACATGCAGTTAACTTCAAGCTCAACTTACCTGCAGCTCATTCATGAGCTCATCCACCAGTTTCTCTGGTTTAGCTCTGCCCAAGTAGGTGACCACACGTTTGGCCTGTAGATACACACAAACAAACAGGGAAGTGAGCCTTTTGGTTCTCAGCACCTTTGTGACCTCATCTTCAAAGGGGATTGGCCTTACACATGTAAACAAAATGTATTGATATCGTCAAAACCAAATCAACCGTTGTGATTCGTACACCATTTTAGAAATACAAACAAATACAACCACATGCTGACTCACACCACACACACATGTACAAACACACACAAATACAAACACACACACACACACACACACACACACACACACACACACACACACACACATATACACACACACACACACACACAACACTTTAATTATAAAAATAAAATGGTATCATCAAACTCAGATACACCATATCGACTGATGTGATTCACACAGAGAAATGAAAACACATACTTTCATTTTTTTTATACCAGAAAAGAAAAGCACATTAACACAGTAACAGTCATTAAGAGAAAGAACATAAACATATAAACATTGCAGCTGACATGGGACTCACATATGGCAAGAGGTCGACGGCTGCGATGTTGGTGATGATCACCAGGTAGCGGATGATGACCTTCAGGTTGAAAGGCCAGCAGGAGACCAGCGCAGCCCACAGAGCCTCGATTTCCAGCGGGTGCTCATCGCCAAACTAAAGGGTTTGGATGAGGGGGTAGGGGGGAGATGAGGGTTGGGGGGGGGGTTGACGAGGAAAGACATTTTGGATTAAATAAACAAATCCCATCTACACAACAGCCGTTTTTGTGTGGTAAAAGTTTAATGCCGCTCGCAGCTGCATAAAGTTGTATGAGCATGTGGGGACAACAGCTATTTAGAGCTGGGGAAAAGTAAGATGGATAGAAATTACAGAGGGTAAGAAAAGATGAAGAAACTAAAAAGGGAAGAGGGCATTTAAGCATGAGTGAAGAGCGACACATCAACACAATGACACTAAATATGAGCAGTAAAAAATGCAAGAACCATAGAAACTGAAAGCGAGAGAATAACATAGACTTGGTAACACTCATTTAGTGCATGGAAAAAACAAGTTGGACAGACAGAAAAAAATACAACTGAGGAAAAGAAAAGAAGTAGGAACTACCACTGACACCCTCCAGCAACCCACACAAACTAGAATGAGAGAACTTTAGGAAAAGCACTTGACACAATGGGCTTTTAGGAAAGACATTTGAAACAAATATTCTTCACTACACCAAGGTGGGAATGGCTACTCAGCTGCAGACAGCGAAATATCTTGTCAGTTTGTTAGTGTTTGAGTGTGTGCAATATGCAGACAATGTGTGTGTGTGTGTGTGTGTGTGCGTGCGTGCGTTCGTGCGTGCGTACGTGCGTGCGTGTGCATATGCGTGTGCGTGTGTGCATGCCTGTGTGTGCGTATGTGCGTGTGTGTGCATGTTTCTGTCTGTCTGTGCATACGTCTGTGTTTGTGTGTGTGTGTGTGTATGTGTCATTTTTGCATGTCTGTACTCACATTGACAGTGATGTAGAACAAGTTGTTCAACACCATCTCTGTGGCCTGTGTGGAGCCCCAGCCCTCTCCCTTGAGTGGCGGCACAAACACGTCCGTCTGTGCGTCCGTTAGTCGCGTGAGGAACGACGCCAGTGGGGAGTTCTGGGGCAGTGAGGGGTCCACCAGCTCCATGTTGTGTAACCATGGCAACAGGTACTTCAGCAGCGTCTGCCGAACAGAAGGTCGGGCTGTCTGGAACCTTTGAGTGATCTCTAGCAGAACAAAAAAAAATATATAAATACATTAATGCATATGAATTTCTTTTCAGGTGAACTTTTCATGCATTATGCCAGAGCCCAGTATACCTCTCTCTTACTATAAAACAATACATTTGCATCATTTTCTGGCTTATTTCGGTTCCACTTAAGGGATTATACTTGGAATCATTTAGCACCTAGAAAACGCAAGGCATAACAAAAGGCAAAAAGAAAAATAGTAGGATCAATCTCCAACCACTCACTCGGGGAGTAATTCCAAAGCAGTTGTTTAAGTGTCATATAATTTTCTAGTTTGTCTTTACGGTTTCTTATTTTTTAATCCTCATGATGTTTTAAAAGATAGTTAATATTTTACACCCCCATCAATACAGTTTAGAGCATTTATGAGGCTGCTTCTTCAACCCCGCTTGTCAAATCTTACCTACGCCTACTGTGATATGGTATCTCAGCAGAAAGACAGATATACTCAATAAAATAACTTCTCAATGCAGAAATCAAACTCGTGCCTTTTGGATGCACCAGCAAAGAGCTTAATCACTACCCAAAAGATGCTCATACAAAGTAAATAAAAAATGTAAAGTAACGACTCAAGAGTCAATAGAATATAAATTGTATATAAACAGAAGCTATCAGAGGAATTGAAACACAAGACACAAAACATGAACTAAGCAGAAACGGATGCTATTCCGTGACAACGTACCAGAGAACATTGGCATGGTGAGGTCCGTGTGTATGCGGGCCAGTTGATCTGAGACAAAGATCTGTGAGTTGCAGTAGGACACGGAGAGCAGAATGTCGTTGAGAGGGGTCATCGGGTGACCTCCGCACTCTCCAGGCGTTTCACGGAACACTGGAGCTTCTTGAAAAAACCTGGATGGTCGTAGAATGTTATTGAGGAGTGATTTGTCAAGTGGTATGTTAAGAGTTAGAAGAGTGTGTGGGTAGTCTACTTGACTTGTATTTGTGAGGTTGAGCGTTCATCAGTTCCAGACTCATCTCAGCCTGCCATTGTGTCCTTGTGAAAGGCACTTAATTCGAATTTTCCACACATCACTCAGGTGTGAAAGGATACCCGCCCATACCCAGTGAAAAAAATCTGGTAAATATGTTAATTTTTTAGAGCCGGTAAAATGGCTACTTGCACTACATTCTTCCTAAGAAATTGACATAGTATCAAAATGCTATCAGTTCTACTGATCGAGCCAGATATTTGTCCAATACAAATACTATGTATCATATTATTATATCCAGAGACAAAGTTTGTGCCCAGCTTGTTTAGGTAAGCGTTTTATGGCACTTGCAACACAATTACATCATACAAGTACCGAAGATTACAGGTGTTCCAAGAGAGAAACAAACATAAAAAAGGAGGAGGAGAGAACCAGATGAGGACAATAGATGTTTGTTGGGGAAGAAGGAGCAAACAACAACAGAGTACCCATCAACCACCTACTTTGTGGCAAGGACAAGGGACGATCTATGTTAATCTCGCAGAGAAGCGTGGTCCCAAGACTTACCTAAGATCCAGCAGATGCAGCAGCTGTACCGCCGTCTCGTGGGTGGAGATGCGCGGGCTGCCCACATTGAGCACAGACAGGTTGAGCATGGCCACGTGGTCACACGGGTACTCTCTGCGGAGACAACAGAACACACAGGGTGCTATAGACTGTAGTTACAGAGGGTGTTGTTGCTGTTGTTGTAGTTGTTGTTGTAGTTGTAGTTTTGTTGCTGTCTTTGTTTTTATTGTTGATGTTGTTATTGTGCCATTTCAGGATCAATAACAGCAACAGCAACAGCAACAGCAACAGCAACAGCAACAACAACAACATTATGCCACTGCTGTCATTGCAGCTCTGGTGGCCATGAGGCTAGTGAGCTCAGCCTTCTGCATTATGTCAAGTAAAGTCCAAGATCAGAGTTAATCATTGTAAATGTTAAACTCCTGTAACACATTTATCAAAAAGGCTATTTCAACCATATGCCTGTCAGGGTCAACCAGGCTAAGATGGATACAACATCCCATAAATACAACCTCCCCGCCTGGGAATTGAACTCATGTCTTCAAGTTTGACAAGGAGGAGCTTAACTTTTTCACCAATGATACCGGTGCAGTATCGATGAGGGTTTATAGGTGAGTAAGACACATTATCCCCAGTTAAACACTTCACTGTTCTTTCCTATAAAATTCAGACACAAATATTTGATGGGGATTTTTTTTTTTTTTTTTTTTTTTTTTTTTTTTTTGAATAGTTCTGTTTGGAGTTATTAGAGGGGTTTTTGTTTTGTTTTTCGGGGGGGGGGGGGGTTCAGAGACAACACTTTATAAAAATCAACCCAGTTTGGTGCTTTTACATAGATTGCAGACTCGATTCTGATGAATTACTAAAAAAAGATTTGGGGAAAAGATTATCTTTTTGTCAAGAAAAAATTAGCCAAAACCCATAAGCTGTTCAGGTCAACCAGCAAAGCCATACTACCGTCTCAGTTTGCAATATTCTAATACTGACTGTCATTGTAACACAAATCTCATAAAGGGGAATCTGTGTACTGGCTTTTTTTTCTTCTTCTCAATCGCCAAAAGCCCAGTCAAACTGCACTCATATCCCCATTTCATTGTTCTCTATCTCCTTTCGTGTTGTAAAATGTGAACACCCAGCACTGACCTGGTCTGGAACACAGCAGCCAGAGCGTTGAAGCAACCGTCAGCCACCTCATTCTGACCCGTGTAACAGCGGTCAATGACCCAGTCCAGCAGGGCCTGGGCCTCAGAGTTGAAGTCCAGCAGTAGGAAGACCGTCTCCTTGGCCAGCTCGTAGATCTAGCAGATAGATGACAGCACGAACAACGTGAACGGAGGGTATATTGTTAGTAAACGGTCAACACATGTATCTGACCGAGTGACAGCACAGCATCAATCTATTAAATGTGGGTATCATTACCTGACAGCTGCAGCATTAACGGAAAGGATGTGTACAACATAAACTGATAGAACATCATTACCTTGTAAGCACTCACAGGTAAACTGACAGCCCATCGTAAACTGAGAACATTTACTTTGACTTTGTTAGCTTACAGTACACAAGTCCTAAAAGGGCAGTGCAGACTTTGTAACCTGATAGCAGGTTTATTTATTAAAAAAAGAAGCACACAGACACACATCATGAGCTAACAGCAATCGCATCATAAAATATTGTGTTAAGAGGAAGGGGCAAAAACATGACAGTCCAGAAATACCACAGATGCAACTCAAATAACAGTTTTATTGAAGTTTGTGAGTTACACTAGCGCTATTTCCATGAAACAATAAGTCGGCAAGAAGTTTCAAGTAAAGCCAAAATGTACCACCACACAAAGCACACAGATGTCCCCTCAATGAGAAAAAAACCAACACTCTCCAACTGTTGAGAAAAAGGGGAGGAAAACAAAACGTTATGCCCAGAATTCACGGGGGAGGGCGAGGAAGGAAGTCGAAAACTTTCTCAAAACAGCCCTTTCCCAAGACAATTCTTACTGATTTAAGTCAGCGACAATATAGTGGAGTTTGATAAACATAAGACATTGTCATAACTTACCACCAGCCAGCAATCATGTAATCCACATGAAATATTTCGACCAAAAAATTGGACTAAAACGTTTCTCTTTACTTAACAGGTATTGAGTATATTACCTTCATGAATAAAATATCAGCATGATCAAAACATGTCAACTGTTCACACTGCAGTCAGTTTGTGGAATTACACAATTTGCATATCAAATTATCTTTATTGTGTTAAAGTTAATTTGAGGAACACACAAAGCCATTGTCACTTTTTCATTATTTTACTGTTTTTTAAGTCAATTTAAGGAACAAGCAAAATCATTTTCCCATATCTATTGCTTTTACCATTTTAATCTTTAATGTCAATATTATCACACTGATTAGGAAATGATCACAGTTGCACAAAACATTTACATTCCTCAAATACTGAGTTATCTCATTATAACTGTTGTGACATGGATAACTCATAAAACTGGTACAAAAGGGCTACATTTCTCAAGGTCAATTACTTTCCATTAACCATCAAGGAATGTAAGTAAACACCAGAAACACTTCAACTATGACTTAATTAAGGATGAGCAAAGTTTAAGCAAAAAACTATTTTTTCGAAGAAAATATCTAGTAATTTCGTTCAAAGCATATGCAAAGTATTTGAGAAAGAAAAAAACCCACAGACTGAACACTGAGTACTCATAATATAAACACAACAAAAAATGAATTATAAGAGAAGTTTTAAGAACACTTTTGTAACAAGTAAAGGGTGAGAGGGAACAACTAAGATAAAAACACCAAAAACGATCAAACGGAACTATAACGCTGCTTTTTGTTTTAAGTTTAAGACAGAGTTCTTCATCTGTTGCAAACTATTTCAAGGTATCAAAGAAGAGACAGAACTAGTAGTGACCCAGCTGATTTCATAACTGGACGGAAAGATAATCGCATCTTCTAGAAATAAAGTAGGGACTGACTTTTCCAATCATCAAACAACTACTATTTAGTCCTGCAGCCTAGGGAGAATTCTTAACCCCTTCACTGTCAGGCCAGCTCTATTCTACTACCATACAGTGAAAAGGTTAATCTCTCTCTCTCTCTCTCGCTCTCTCTCTCTCTCTCTCTCTCTCTCTCTCTCTCTCTCTCTCTCTCTCTCCTTCTCTCTCTCTCTCACACACACATACACACACTCACACACACACACACATACACACACTCACACACACACAGACAGACACACACACACACACATACACACACAAACATATTCACAAATGAAAAAGGATAAAAACTCGACAAGAACTACGGAACTCTTGAATGCACCAACACACACTGAGTGAACACAAGAACTGGCAGTCAAATGACAGAGAAGGCACTGACTACTCTATTCCGCTATTAGCCAAGATTTTGCAGGATTTGTTTAGGGAAAATTCTGGCCTCACATTAGTAGACAAAAGATTGAGATGGGATTGGAAGGGGGACGGCCTAATCAAAGAGAAGTTAACCAAACATCAACACATGCTTTAGGAAAAAAAGAAACAGCATACATATAGCACTGATCACAAAACTAGTCATTATAGCAAAAAAAAAGAAAAAAGTCAACAAATTCACAAAGAGTAAACTTCTACAAATTACCAAAAGTCAAAAGCAGGGAAGAGAAGTTTTCACCTCACTACACATAACATTAGCAGGTTTTTTTTTCAAACTTTGCCTGAATGACAAGATGTCTATGATATCAGTTAGGTGGATGATGTAAGTATTGTTCTATTTCTCTTTAGCTTTTTATCACAATAGTCCTTTGATTGTCCCTACAAGAACGGTTCTAAAGACAGGACAGCTCCTATATGAACACTCTAAAAAGAAATGGAATGTTTGAACAGCAATACAATATACTCTAGGAAACAGAACAGTGCATACACGGATGCTCAAAGACAAAGAAGTTTCTACAGGGATATTCTAAAATATATAGAAAGTTTCTACAAGATTAATGTAATGAATAGATGGCCTTGTAAGAAAACATTAAGAAATAGAAATTCCCACATGAATACTCTGATTAAAAAGGACAGTTCCAACTAAAATACACTAAGAAATGGAGCAGTCCCTAAAAGAGTACCCTAAAAATAGAACAGCTCCCACTAGAAAACTCAGTCATGTCTGAGAAAAAGACAAGGAACTACTGTAAACAGAACAATCCCTTTAAAAATACTAGAAAATAGACAATTTCGATGAGAATACTGTAAGATATAGAACAGTTTCTACAAAAATACTGAAAGAAATAGAAAAGTTTCTACAAAAATACTTTAAAATACAAAACAATGTCTACAACAATCCTCAAAGAAATAACACAATTCAAACAAGGATAAACTCTGAGAAATTGAACAGTTCCCATAATAATATACTATAAATGTAACAGTTCCAATAAAAATGCCCCAAAACAAATATTGATCAACTATGACAAGATATAGAACAATCTCTACTAGAACACTCTTAAATACGAACAATTCCTTCAAAAATATCCTAAGGAGTAGAACAATTTCTGCAATAAAACTAGAAAACACAAAACAGTTCCTAAAAGAATTCTAAAAGAATACAAAAAGAAATGGAACAATTCCAATGCGAATACTCTAGAATATCTAACGCTCAAACGAGAATACTCTAACAATACAGTAGCTACAAGAACTCTATGAAAGACAACAGTTTCAACACGAACATTTAAACAAATAGAACTGCATCTGTAAGAAAGAGTGCAAACATAACATCCATATTTGTACTTGGAGCAAAAACAGATATTGAAACATTGCAGCCTGGAAACTCTGCAGATACAACTCTCTGGCTTGGCTAACATTGCTGTCCTTACAATGGCAGCCTTTTTAGGCGGTAATACATGTGTACATATATACACTGCTGTACAATACAATGGCTCGTGTGTACGTCAGAACGTGGCGAAGAGGCAAGAGAGTGAAAATGTGTATACTCCATCCCCACCACACTGCATTATGGTAATGACCATGAGGGGTAGTCACGGACACTCATCGATCTTGAGAGAGAGGCAAGAAAGGGATAACCGCAGCTGAATGCAAAGTGCTCAAGTCTTGGTGTGGTCAAGAGTATTCATGCTGACCAAATTATGTCTGAAGCTAGCAGTCATAGGCAGCTTGAGGAGGAGGAGAAGGAGGAATGCTCAGTCACAAAAACTTAGCGGTCAAGTCACAGAGAGGGTTTTAGCAAAGCACGATACAAGTCAAACACAGCGCTTCCGCGCTTATATATTAATAAGAAGAAGAATAATGACAGACTGCATTTGCATAGCACATACACCTACTAGGAAGTTGGTTCAATGTGTCTCATAATTTGAACAGCAGACACAAAATATACAGAAGGCTGTACCTTAAACTGGTAAACTCTCAATGCGTAAACAGAAACCAGCCAAAAACATAAGAGTAGCAACTCCATGACATTTGTAACAAAAAACTCTGGAAACAAAAATACAAACAACATGAGAATGGCACAAATGCCATGAGAGCGTACATAACAACAGACACTCAATGTACGTCACAAATGACAAGCTGCATGTGTCGTGAATGGCGCTCTGTGCACGTCACAGGTGGCTCTTGCATATGTCACAAATGGACATTCTGTGTACATCACAACTGACGATTTGCATATGTCACAAATTACTCTCTGTGGGCACCTTGAATGACATTGTTCTGCATTCATCACAGATGACACTGTTTAGTGTACATCAAAGTTGATGCTCTGCGTATGTCACAAATGACCCTCTGCGTCACTGACCAGGGGACAGAGGAAGGGGGAGGACACCAAACTAACAAGAGAATCCAAAAGTTGCACAAAACACAAAGAACGAGCCACCCCACCATGGTCGCTCAACCATAACTATCCAACTGGACATTCCAGAGGTCGGGGGAGAAAGAAAAACAAAACAAAACCCAAAAAGAGAAGGCTTGAAACAACCAGCAAGTGAGCAGTGAGAGAGGAGGGCAGGGGGGGGGGGAGTGGCACATGCTGCCTTACCTTCGGTCTCATCTGGGCAGCGTCGAGAAGAAACAACAAGAAACGATTCGGCAAATATATCAGTGAGGGTGACACAGCAATACAAACGAGAAGGACAACGGATACACAGGAGGAAAAAAAATACACCACGGTAAGGACACCAACACAGACACGAGAAGAAATGCACAACAGTAACAGCACAAAAGAAAAGGGGATACCCAGAGTTAGAAAGACACTTGAATAGTGATACACAGAAGCAGGAATACACAGAAATAGAGGAATAGGATATACAGTGGTAGATATACACAAGGAAAAAAACAAAGAACAGACATGAAGAAAGGATATGCATCACTCCTGACACAAAGGAATAGATGTACCTGAGAGAGGAGTAGAAATACACACAACAGTAGATGTATGAAAAGGAAGACACACACAATAGTAAAAATTCGCAGGATTACAGACAAATAAAAATGAAAGTATGGACAGGAGAACAAACACACAGGAGTATGGACAAAACAGGACTAGAAATACACAGAAAAAAGGACAAGAAAGAAGTAGAAATACACAGAAAAAGGATATTCAAGAGTAAGAAATTGCAGGAGTAGAGGGACAGACAGGAATGGAAATATGCAGAAATGGAGGGGAATTAAGGAGTAAGAAAACATCGGAGTAGAGGGACAGACGGGAGTAGAAATTAAGAAAAGACAAATAGGAGACAAGATACACTGGTTGTTTTTAGACAATAATATGCTGCAAAAGTGACAGAGACACTGAAGGGGCTATGACAGATAGATTGATGAGTAGGGAAAAGAAATTGAACGACAGCTTGTACATGACAAGATCCGCAGCAGTGCAAATCGAGAAAAGAGATGATATGAACAGAGAAATGATGAGACACTACATCTGTAAAAGTGACAGCACTCTCAGAGCAGTATATTTTTTTCTGACAGGAGAGATCACTCACGGTGTGGCTCTCACAATGAACGCACGGGGCTGGGAAACGCGGGCAATGCTTCAGCAAAAACAAAAAGACAAAAAAACATCATCATGATAAGTCTTTCGAATGACCATATGGAGCTAGGAAGAAAAATACACCTGTCACTCTTTCGAAATACTTTTTGAAAATCAAGAATGACTCTGAATATTTCTTTCTTTTAAAATCAGTATTGATTCTTTGGATTTTATTTTTATTGACCGAATATGTATTTTTGAATAACACCAAAAAAAAGTCCTCGAGGGCTCCACCAAAAAAGTGAGAAAATAATTTGCATGCAACTTGAAATCTGAAAAAAATATCAAGTTCAAGTATGGTGATAAAAATCTGAAAAAAAGAATTTGTCAAGCAGTAAATTGCTGTCTTGTTTGCCTGTTCACACAAAAACGAAGCACATAAGCATCATTGTGGCTGTTTAGCACCAGCAAAAAGTATGTCAATATAGGGTAATGTGACACATACATACTTGGACCTATCAGCACCAGTCCTCGTACTACCATCCGGACATTTCCGAGATTGACAATTATTGATGTATTTTAACCCCCGTCAACATAATTTAGATAATTTAGGATACAGACTGTTTTGACCATGCCTGCAAGGGCTAACCTGAGCAGACAGGGATACAGCATCACAGTAAACAGAGATACTCAATAAAATAACTTCCCACTTTGGGAATGGCGCTCACATCATCAGCGTACAATGGGTAAGAGCCTGACCATTGGGTCACAGATGCCGGTTTCCCTGCGATGCAAAAAAAGAGATCCACAATTCAGCACCTGAAAATCCCCCCTCCTCCCCCCCCCCCCCCACCCACCCACTCCCAGCATAACATCATTCACCAGGGAGAATGGAACCACTACAGTGAATGTGGCCGTAAACATGGTCTTCCTCTCCCATCGTCACCAGTACCACAATAGGATGTCTTTTCACTGTTGTTCTTGTTCTTGAGTGGTAGAATACAGAGTCAGCAACAACAAAAAACCCACTACATTTCCAAAGGGACGGACAAAAATAACTATAACTCTGAAAAGAAGAAATAGGAGCAGACAACACAAGGGCACATACAAATCTCACCCTGCAAGTATACAACAAGCATCATCATCATCATCATCAAGAAGGCGTATTCCTCTCCGACACAAAGATGAGATGAAATGGACCTCGAACTGAGCTCATTTGGTCGAGTTGACCACTATTCATATTCACACACCTACCTCCCCTCATAAGACTCATAAGAATGTACTTTCCTCAAATTCTTCTTCTTCTTCTCCAACCTACCCCCCCCCCCCCCCCTCAACTACATGAAGTGCATTTTCAAATTCAAACCTTCCCCACCTCCAACTCAATCACTTTTCCCCTCCCTCTGCTCGACATCATGCTGCCTTCCCAGCCTTCTCCCCCTCCCATACCCTCACCTTGTCATCATGAGAACTGAGCAGAGTGTCCAGCCAGTGGTAGATATATCCATCATCGTTGAGGCCGTTAGCGTCAAACACTTTCCCACAGCACAGCACGGCCGACATGGCCCGGGCAGCTGACAACTCCTGCTCACTCCAGGGCTCCTCTTTGTTGTGGCTGGGGAGGGGAGGGAGGTGAACACAGGTTTATTTTTTTTAGTTTTGCTTTTTTTGTTTAGTAAAAGGAAGTACCTAGACATGAAAACAGTCATTTAGTGCTAGGGAAAAGCAAAATGGCCGGACAAACAGCAGAAAAAAGTCAAGACATACACCCAACCAACGTACTCTCCAACCACTCATAGACATACGGGTTGGAAAAAAAGAAAAGAACAGGAGACTAAGGTATAGGTGTCATGTATTCATTGCCCCTTTTGGAAACAGTACGCATATCAAAAAGACAAAACTCAAAAATGTCCCATATAACAAGAACACACCCCAGTGCTGCTATACAACACTAGCTCCATAACTCTTCAATCAAACAACAAGTAACAACAGCCAGGACAAAATAAAAAGTGTTAAACCAACATTGCTTGATATTTTATGTCATCATGGGTTCCCTGTTCTTTTACTAATACGACATGAAAGGCATGAATACCCTAACATAAAAAATGAAAAATGTCTTTTTTTTTCAGCAATGACTAGTTTTGTATCAGGAAAAGAGTCATCGCTGATCAATGGGGAAAATGGTCACTCTGACTTACCGTTTATCTCCTGAGCCAAAGGTGAGGTTAAAATGACCGCTCCAGTTTGCAAACAGATGGAAGAGACTGTAACGTAAGTCCCTTGACAGTAGCTTCTTCCTGTATTCCACTGGAAAAAACACACAAATAAAAAAATACACAACAGTCAACACCTTCTAATTACAGTAATAACAAAAAATTTAATCCCACTTTTACTGATCAAATTGGGGAATTTTTTTTTTTACGGTGGTATACATACATAATTGAAAGCAAACATAAAAAACAACTTCCGATTCACATCTTCAGCAGTCAACATTTTGATAACAGGCACAACACGCAAGACTGGGGGAAAATGATTAAAGTCACATTTTGAAATGTAGGGAAAATCAAATCTTAAAAAGTTCAAAACACACTGTACTTGATCGTATAGTCCCGTCACTTGAAAAGGATCTTTAACATAGGACTCAGTCCGTTTTTCAGTTCAACAGTTGTAAAGAGTAAAATGAAAGTAGTAGCCTACAAGCTAAAAAAAAAAAGCAATCGCTCAATAATTTCCAGTTCGTCCTCTTCAAGCATATCTGGCGTACTCACTGGGCGTGTTACAGATGAGGTGCTGCACAAAGCCGCTGAAGTGGAGTCGGATCTCCTGCAGGATGGGGAGGTCACGGTCGTTCTCCCCTTCCAGGTACTGGCGAGCCCCGTCAATATAGTCCACAAACATGGAGCTCAGGGAGCCCGTCTCCATGTCGATCACACCAGACTCACTGGGGACAGGAAATTTATTGACTGTTGGGGAATCTCACACCTTTTGGTTATGACAAAAGAGCTTAGAAAACTGTGTTGAAAAGTCTTCAACTAAAGAGCTTCTTGAAGGATTTTGAGAAAGTAGTTCAGCAACATTCATTCTGGCATCCTCCTTACTTCAGCTACATATGTCACAGTGCTAACTTTCTTCAGTCAGGATCTCTCAAATTTAAGTAAAGACAAAAATACCAAGCCACAAAAAAATACTGAATAAAGCAGAAAATACACTCCCTCTTCCCTCCCTTCAAACACACCTCTGAATAAAAACTAAGCTCTTAGCCAACAGCTCAAAGATAAGAGCTAAACCCCTCTCTCTCTCTCTCTCTCTCCCTCCTCCATCTCCCTCTCTCTCCTTCCCTCCATCTCTCTCTCTCTCCCTCTCCATCTTCCTCTTTCTCCCTCCCTCCATCTCCCACTCTCTCTCCTTCCCTCCTTCCCTCGCCCTCTCCTTCTCACTCCCTCCTCTAACACACCTCTGAGCAAAAGCCTTGTTCTCTGCCATCAGCTCAAAGATGTGAGCCAGCTGCACCCTCAGGATGTCCCTCTTCCTCCTACGTCTCAGGTTGTCCTGTTTCTTGTCGATGGCTTCCTTCAGGAACGGAAGCAGTTCTTCCGCCAACTCTCTGCAGACATCAGAGCAACACACTCAGTGATTTGCCGTAAGCAGATAAAACACCTTTTTATTAATTCTCAGCAGTTTCGAGATAAAGAGGCTTTTTGTCATCGTAACCATTTTTAAAAAGCGTTCCTTCAAAATTTGAATTTAAATAACTAGTAACAATTTCTCTGTGATTTTTTTTTTGGACACAAGTAGGGTAACTGATCAGATTTTGCAAATTAAAAAAATTGGTGCCAAAAATGTTAAAAAGCGTTTTATCAGTTTACGGCCGCGACATATTTTTCTTGCCAACACACAAACAGTAAACATACTTGTCATGGTGTAGTGCGGTATGCTGTCATATGGTATGGTTCTAAGGCCCCTTTTTTAAATCCATCATTGTCATTTCTTTCATATTTTACACTTCCACCACAACTAGAAACAGAACATTACTGATATATCTGTTAAAATTCCTAAAATTTTAGCAGTTATTACAGACAGCAACTTCCAAGACAAACTAACTGCATCTGGAAACACAACTGATGAAACTATAATTAAAACTGCCTAAGTGTTGGCAGTCATTCTTCCACGGGTTACAGACACACACACACACACACACACACACACATGCATGCACACACACACACACGCGCGCGCGCGCATACAAATACACACACACACACGCATGCACGCGCACACGCATACAAACACACACACGCGCATGCACACACCACAATAACCTACTTGAAAACGCCAGGGTTGCAGTATCCAAGCCCATTGACAATGGTGTCCCTCATGTCAGAACTGTCACACCTCATGAGTGGGACCAGACGCTGAAACAGGTTGGTGGCCGTGCACGCCTGGACGGTTAGCGCTTTGTCCGACTCAGGGGAGGATGCCGCCCTGTGAAAATCATTATCATCATCATCACTAGCATCAGTATTATTGTTCAAGTTTAATCTAATTTTCATGTTCTATCTTCCAGCGAGGAAAGCAGATACTGTACAAGTACAAGGAAATATATATTGGTTTACAACAGATTTACATAAATTCAAAAGGTGCCTAAACATGAAAAAAAAAAAGCATCAGTATTATCATCATCAAGATTGTTATCACCACATCATCCCCATCATAATTTTTGTCGACAGTAGGAAAATATGAACACTGTTTTAGATACACTTAACATGCCCCAAATATAATTAAGTCCCTTTTACAGAGATATATGGTTATTTTAATCAATTCAGCACAATAAAAAGACAGAGCTAGCCACAGATGCTGAAGCTCAAAAGAATGGTGACTGCAGTCATACCACCATCATACAAAGATAGTACAACCAGGGATGGGTAACGCTTCACACTATGAAAAGAACAATCAATCCCAGAAGCGCCAACGGACTAGGAAAAAAAATTCTGAGCTTTTTTGACCCCATAGAAACATGCACACAGGGACTCAAAACTTAAGAATCATATTAATTAATGTATCTTGTATTACAATATTTTTATATAAAGAGCAATATGACATGCACAACGGTATTAAAATATGTGAGGCATCGTGGTGAAAGCAAGCCCTTGTCAAAATAATGAAATCGAAGAAATCAGCATTTTTCCACCAGTTTTGATTTTTGGGGGGGAATTTTTTTTGGGGGGTCAACATCTTGTATGTGCATTCCAAAACATTGTTGAGTGTGGATTTTTTTTTTTTTACGTTTATCAAAGGCACAAAAAATTGCAAATTTGCAGTATCCAAGGACTCTTGAGCTATGGAAGTCACCAAAGTCTGGCAGCCATTTTCTTGCCAATTTAGCTTCTGAAACCAGGCGACCCCACATCCTTCATTCGCAAATATCTCAACTTCTATTTCAGACAAATGGATATTTTTTTCATCATATGCAAGGCAAATGAACAACCTTTAAGATGATACCAATAACTCCGTATATCCCAAAATTGACGAGTGCCTGATTCCACCGCATCATGACACATATAAATAAATGTATAAGCAGGAATATATATTTTACAACAAACAAGAGAACTGCACAACAATCAGCTTGAAGTTGGACAAAACACAATGTCCAAAAATCCAGATTTTCAGATTTATGCAGAAAACCTGCACCTCAGGAATCCCTCTTAACGGCTCTAAACTGTGTGAATGGGAGTGTGAAACAAGGAGAATGAGGAATCAAAAACTGCAGCATAGTGGTTATCCACATACCCAAGCTCTGGGGAGGAGCAGCGGTGCAGGAGACAGTTACTGTGCATGGCCACAGTGCAGGCCATGATCACGTAGTTCTGCCACAGCTGCATGTGTACGTCCTTCTCCGACGTGCCCTTCTTGCTGCCAGCTGACCGCAGGATGGACGAAGCTCGCGTCTGCTCTGTCTGAGCACTAGAGAGAGGCAGGGGTGAGGGGGGAGAGGGATGAATACAAGCAGATGACTGATGAAACTTATAACACTTTTGTTAACTCAGCCTGAACCTGAAGTCATGCTTTCCACTTTCAAAATTTGTGCCTCGGTATAGTATTATTCTATACTGCAAAAATTAACTTGCAACAGCTTTAGTTTAGTTTGAGTAAACAGAAACACATCAACTCAATAACAATTATTCAGTGCAAGGAAAGAGCATGATAGACAGACAGAACCAAAAGAAGGCAAAAGAAAAGACGCACGATTACTACTGGTGCCCTCTAAGCATACAACCACTACGCTTGCCAGCATTTCTTTTAGCTCAATAACAATGTGTTTATTAATTTGGGAAGTAAGTTTCAATCAAGAGAAGGGAAAGCGAACTGAAATATTTCAGACGTAAAATATCCAATTTTTGTCTTTATTTCACATAGTGACAACAAAAAAATAATATGTGATTTATTCCTTTTTAGGAAATAAAGATATAATCTAGCATACCTGGGATCCACAAGAGGAAACAATGCGTTAAGCCGTGTGTACACAATAGGCCAAGCATGTGCAACTGCTCGTGGACACAGTGTTTGAGCATGCTCAGTGGATGCGAACTCAGCTATACACCGTATCCACATGTCCACCCGGTGGAAACTGTAGTTGATCTGGTGTCCGTCCTGCATGCTGCCACCTCCAGCGGGCAGCCACAAAGTCACTGCACGGTCAGTCACCCAGGCCAGGTCCATGGACGGGAGGGTCAACAGGATGGGCTGAGGAAGGGATAGTTGATGTGAGTTTACGAGAAAAACATGAACAAATTAGGTTGAATAGTTTTGTTCAGTTTTTGTAAGAGGTTTACTTCACTTACAACACAATTAGGTCATATAAGTGCCGAAGATTAGTTGTATTTTTAGAGAGTTATATACAAAGAGAAGACGGTAATAAAAATAGAAGTTTCATAGGAAAGAAGGAGCAAACTACGCCAGAGAGCCTGCGTAAAATATTGATCACACAGACAAACGGACGGACAGACGGATAGACAGACAGACGGACGGACGGACAGACAGACAGACAGACAGACAGACAGACAGACAGACAGACAGACAGACAGACATAACAGAAGTCATATTTACCTTCTCGGAGGAGGGCAAGAGGGGCATGAGCTTCTCCATCACAGCAGGACAGGCTTTGTCGATGACCTCCAGCAGACTAGCACTACACACCTGCAACATGACACATACACACAAATACTTACTCAAGGAAGACACTCACTCCTACACACACACAGACACAAGTACACATACAGTGAGTGATAATAGTGGAACACACACACACACGCACGCATGTACACACACACACACACACACACACACACACAAATATGTATATATATATATATATATATATATACATACATACATACATATGACAATACCGGAACAGAGCACACACACTCACAAATAAGTACACACACATACACCACACACACGCACACACACACCACACACACAAACACACTCTCTTTATGACCACACTGACATCGTCTAGTAAACAGGAATCTCATCAAAACCAAGCCAACAACAACAACAACATCATGCTGTTCGTACCTGGTGTTCAGAGTACATGTTGAAGATGTTTCGGACCTCCTTCAGCAAGTGGACAGCCAGTTTTCGGGTGACCACACGGCAACTGCACATCATGACCAGGCACAGACCCTCCACTTCATGGAGTACCTCCACATGAGCCACGGACATTGCAGAGTCCTGGGGGGGGGAGGTAAAATGCATAGGAGTTAATGATAGTGATAAGCAGGATAAAAGAAGTGACTATCAGCCATACACCAAAAAAAAGCATCCAAAAGTCCAGGGGGTCTTAGCATAGCGTCAGCCAGAGTTGCTGAGATGTACAAAGCCCAATATTTTGAAAATTGTTCTTCTTGTGGTAGCTTAATCTACAGTAATAATTGCATGTGCTCCTTAGTATTAGTAAGAGTTTTACGGCACTTGCAACACAATAAGGTCATATAAGTGCCGAAGATTAGAGATGTTACAAGAGAGTAACAAACAAAAAAGAAGGAGGGCAGATAGAAATGATAGATTTTTTTAAAGGAAAGAAGGAGCAAACCACACAAGAGCACCCGTCAACCACCCACTCTTGTGCATGTGCTTTTGTCGTAAGTCAATTCTAAATGTTGAAAAGGGGGAGGAGAAAAGGTCACTGTATAAGGGCTAACAATAAGCACAACAAAAAGAATCTATGAGTCTTATATCTCATAACAAATGAGGAAGGACACATAATACAACATAACTGTAAATAACTGTGAGATGTAACAGCATCAGTTTCAACAGAGAGGCACTATCAGACCAGCCAACCACTTTATGATAAAAAATGTTCCTCAAAATCCTCTCCAAAAATAGGAGTTAACTGAAGGAAATCAGAGTTTCCAAAACCCTGTTAGATTAAGATAACGGAACAAACCATAGTATTTCTCATCATTTATGATAAGTCGCACAAATGTTGCAAATAAATCTGTACATTTTCACAAAATTGACCATAAGTAGCGTACAACCAACGAAAACGAAATTCAAGAAAAGAAATTGGATTTCATGAAAATCCGATTAGGGCTCTTTGACTTTGAAAAAAATAATCAGAGCTTCGACTTATAAAATCGGAGTACTTGGCAGGTCTGCAATATGGTACAAGTATAAAAGGCAGTCTCCCGCTCCACGGTAACAGTGCTGTGCTGCTCACCTTGGGAGTGGGCTGACTATTGTTGGCCGGGGTGAGCGTTGACTTCCACTGAACCAGGAGCTGGGACAGCAGGCGCAGTGTGTTGTCCAGTAGGGCTGGCTTGGTGTCGCTGATGTCCTTCTGGATAAACTGGACAAAACCTGAGAAGAAGTTTGGGGTGGGAAGGGAAGAGGATATGTGATTAATTTCATTTGGGAGCTTTAAATAGAAAGAAAGACTACACAATTTGTTTCATCGGAGTATAGAAAAGAACATTGAGACAATAACGGTCACTAAAAGCAAGGAAAAAGCAAGACTGACAGAAATAACAGAGATAAAGTAAAGATGAAGGACCTATCATTGATATCTTCTAAACATTTTCACCTTAAGTAACACCTCAAAGAGTCAGTATAGGTACCATACGGTGCAGTATATAATTGCTAGATTATTCAAAAGCCTGTGGGTCAATTAAGGAAGCAAACAAAAACATAAACAAAAAATATTGATATCTACCGTGAACAACATGGTCCCGCCATGCGACAGACTCCGACATGAGATTCTGCAGAGCTTGAACAGCCAGCCTGTGAGAGAAAACCAGGAAGTAATTAAACACAACAACAACCACAAAAACAACAACTGCAACAACAATAACAACAAAATCAACAATCATTGTTGTTGTTGTTATCGATCCAGCAACAGCTGGGCTCTCGCCCTTCTGTCCAATGCCATGTAGTGATAAGTGCAGGTTTGCTGCAGTTGCTGTAATGTTCCATAGAGTGTGTTATCAATGTTAGGTCTCGGAGGGAGAAGGGTAGCTCTGATGTCATTTAGGGCTGTGCAGTGGAACAGGTGATGCTCCACAGTCTCATATGCATAGTCACACAAGGGACACATTGGGGGAAGTTCCGGGTTCATTCTGTTCAGGTGGAAGTTGAGCTGTATATGTTCTGTTCGTAGGCGGAAGATCGTGGTCTGTTTCTTTCTCTGAAGGCGGTTGATATTGTCATTCCTTTTTGTTGTGGTCATATGTTTGAAAACTGCTCTGCCTGTCTTTCCCAGGGCCCATCTGTTCATCCAATCTTGTTTGTTGTTGCTTTTGATGATTTGTTTTGCAGTGTTGTATGAAGTTGGAGTGTTGGGTTGTTCCTGTCTAGATCCCCGTTTGGCAAGTGTGTCTGCTCTGTCATTTCCAGGTATGTCTGAGTGTCCGGGGACCCACTGCATTACCAGGTTGATGCCACAGGATGTTATCAGATGATGGGATCCAAACAGTATATGGGTCAAATCTTGATTTAGATGATGGTATCATTAAGAACAATAACAACACCAACAACCACAATAACAGCAGCAACAATATCATGTTTGTTTGTTTGTTCGTTTAGTATAGGGTTTTACAGCGCTCGGAACTGCATAAGGTCATATGAGCGCGCGGGACACACCTAATACTTTTTCGTTGGTAGGAAATTTTGAATTTTGCCCGGGTGGCGGCCAAAGCCTACTCTTATCGATTTTAGACCACCAAGGGATCTTTAATGTGCGCAACTTGCACACGGGCCCTCCGAGATTTTTCGCCCTTGTCCGAGAAGGCTAGGTGTAGATCTTTCCTTCCAGAAGATCAGGGGTGTGGCAGAAAGACAGCAGTAAGGAGAGACCAAGGAGTAGCAGTAGAAAGGCTGCAGAAAGAGTCAGGAGCCCAGAGGAGGGGGCAAAGGAGGTGAGGGGGTGGGGGCAGAAAGTGGAAATGAAAGCAGACAACAGAACATTGTTAGGGATCAGGAAAGGATGTGAAAGGAGACAATTTTAGAGAAGAAAATTTTTTGGTCGCTACCCGGAATCGAACCTGGGACCTTTGAATGAGAGGCCAACACCTTAACCTCTAGGCCACGAGAGCCCCCCAA